GAATAATCTATTGGGTTGTGAGATATGGTAGTTCAGACAAGCACATTTTCCTCATGTCAGTTTCCCCCCATTGCACACCAGACTTCTTTGTAGGACACACCCTGGAAAATGAGCTTTAGCATAAGGGCTCAAATCCTGAGTTTGAATCTTGGCTTTGCTACTTACTACCTTATGGCTGAAACTTTTAAACCTTTTTATTTTCTTCTCTACTAGGTCACACAAATACTATAAAGGCAGAGACAGTGTTTATTTTATTGACCAGGGGTAGATAGTACTCTCACTGTGCTCAATATTTAATAAGTGCTAAGTAAGTACAAATGAATGAATGTGTGATATGTGACCTCCTTAATTTTATAAGCCCAAGTTGTCCTCAGCTGTTAAAGGAGAATGTCAGCTGTACTATTTCATAAGGCGATTGTAGGGCTTAAGTGAGATAATATATGTGGAATATTTAGCATGTAGTGAGACTGCACTAAATGTGTGTTATGGACGTGTTGGTCCATCAATGAATTATAAAATGTCAGGTGGGGCCAAAGGAAAGGCAAAAAGAAAGGAGCATCAACAGGAGAGAGGCAGGTGGTGTACTACTTGGCTTGACCAGGTTGTGGTTTTGGTGAAAGAAAAAGGATGGTAAATAAGTCCTTTGAATTTCTGCAGGTGCTTACATTTTGGAATTTCTTTTCTAGGATTCCCTTTGGAATCAAAGAGAATGAATCCTGAAGAGGTAGTGCCTTATTAATACTTAGACAGTACCTGTAGTCTCTACCTCACTGTAATAGCCCTGTATTTCATTAAGGAGTCTCAAAGAGTTCAATAAACAGAAGAGATATCTGAGAGCTATGAGCACATGCCTTCAGGTTGTTAGTATTCTGAGTGTCCCAGTGTGTCCTGCACACTGTAACCTTAAGTAGTCATTAACATTTCATGGAAATCCAGGAAGCATTCCATTTAGAACTAAAGAAGGATTTTGGCTTTGAGACTTGAAATGAATAGAACAAAAAAAAATATTTAAAAAGAAAATACCACCACAGTGAAAATAAAGGAATCTCCACAATTTTTAACAAAGTCTGCTTTTTAAACCATCTGTGATGCAAAGATGATTTTGCACAATTTCAAGATTTCATCTTTATAGATCGTGGCAAAAGTATTAAGGTGAATTCTCTTTGGACTGACCTACTCCTTGAAAGTTAAGCACTTTTGAAGTATAAGAACTCGTCTGAATTCTGGCACTCAATGAAGTACAGAGAGTTCTGGTACTTTCCTGAGGTGTGGAGGGTAGTGTATTCTCTTTTGAACCTGATTTTTTGGAGGAAGTTGTTGAAGGTGGAACACAGCAAGGGTTAGATTATCATCAAACCAGGGGTCTCTTTTTAGTTTAGTTTAGGCCACATGGACCAGGATCACCTAATAACACCGGTCCCATGGAGGATACTGTACATCTTCCATGTAAAACAAGAGCCTCAGATGTCTCCATTATATGTAGAGTCTGAAGTGTTTATATGTAGATTGTATCATAGTCTTCAAGTTGTACCTGAGCAGTTTTCCAGCAAAGTGCTACTAGCATTGTCTTGTGAACCGCTATGCTATCACAGTACCATTTTGGAAAGCATGCCCAAGGAAGAGGCTTAAATGACAGCATTAACCCCAGTTGCAACGTACTCTAGTGTACACTGCAGAGAATTAAATGTCAAAAGACGCAGGTTTGAGTCATCTGTAACCTGCGTGCCTTGGTCACATCACTTACCTTCTCTCGACCCTGGATTTCTCATTTCTTAAATGGGAATATTAGTATTTTCTACCTCCTTGCCTGTCGTGGGAATCAGATGAGAGCACAGGTGTGCAAATGCTCTGCAAAGTGTGCAGTGCCTGACCAGGGCAAGGCTTGGGCCTACTGAACTGGTGGGGACATTGACTGTTACGGAATGTGAAACCTTGCATTATGGACAACCAAGGTGTCACAGAAATGGCAGATTTTCTGGTTAATATCCACAGTGTCGTCCATTTCATAATGTCTCCTCTCCTCCTTATACAAGAAGGGAAGAATTTCCATACCCAGTATTGTGAACATATCTAGTTGACTTCAGAGTCACTCAAGATCAGAACTGACTCTGTTTTTAGGAGTGATGGGAAATGAAGGGACAGAGATAAAAATTCCATTTCGTTTGGTTTGCTGTAAGCAGCTCAGCTTTATATCAGTATTGGCTATTACAGCCCTCGCTACCACATAGATGAGCTAGAGACTTACAAAGAACATACATTTATCATTCTGCCACTGAATACTGAGGCTTGAAAAGTCCCCTTAGTCTGTGACTGCAGGCAGGTTTCAGAAATGGCAGTTGGGATTATTATACTGATATTTTTTCTGGGAGATTATTATGAGTGCTTAGGTATTTAATGTTGACTTTTTTAAAGTTCAAGGGTAATGGCTAAACCAACTCTGGTACATCCATACCACAGAATACTATCCACCAATAAAAAGGAACAAACTACTGACACACGCAGCAACATATATGAATCACACAAACATTTATGCTGAGTAAAAGAAGTCTTATGTAAAAGCAGACATGTGGTATGATTCTGTTTATATTCTAGAACAGGTATAACTAATCTGTGGCAAAAAAAAAAAAAATCACAAAAGTGGTTGCCTCTGGGGTTTAGGGGAGGGACCAGAAAAAGGAATTATTTTAAGTGTACTGCTTAATTTACTTTGAATTGCAACAACTACAACAGCAAAAATGTACTGATAGCTAGATACACAGTAAGGTAAATATAGCGAGACGTTTGCTGTAAAGTCTAGTGGGGGATTATTCAGTGCTTATTGTCCACTTCCCTGTAGGTGTGAACATTTTATATTTTGAAAGTATAATTTCAGAAAAAAATCTGTTAATATAAAAAAAGTGTAAGGGGAACTCTGGTTAGTGTTTTTGGTGATGCAGTATTCTTGTAAGCATTGAATGTCCTCAGAGAAATTAAGTTACTTGTCAAAGGTAAATGAAAATTTATGATGTTGCCTTTTCTCAAATGTTGCATAAAAGAGACATTTAAAATTATAAGCACATGAGGATTTTTGAGTTCACAATATGTCACATGAATTTGTATCAAATTAATTGTATAATTAAAAATGACTTAGTATCATGTTTTTGACTACACATCACTTCGTCTTCATTTATTTTTTCTTTTGTTAATCTCCACGAGCTATCTTTTTGAAATGGTGGGCTGTAAAATACAAAAAGAAGTAATAAGCAGGTGGCAGAATCCAATTAAAAAGAGTATATGTATGCTATTGAAATGAAATAAGTCAATGGATAAGAAATTTTGTTGAAAACCTTAACTGTGGGGTGCAAATAATATTACTCTGACTTTTCATACTTTGAGAATGATTGGCATTCAGGAAGACTGAACTTAAAATGACCATAACAAGTTAGAGCACCGCGTTTCTTCAAAAGGACAGGGTTTAGTAGAAACATGTCTAAAAGTTTACCCTTCAGGACCAAAGACCAATAATAAAAATGTGGAATTTGAAAGAACCAGTTCTTAAAAATCTCCCCACAGTCAGCTCTTCTTGCTGAATATTCACTGTCTCTTGTCCTATAATCGGATCCAGCTTGGATATACATTTTTAAGTAATATGGAGAAATAAGTCAAGGTTTAAAGAGGAACAAGAAGACTAAAATAATGAAAAATTGGTCCTATGAGGAAAATCTGAGAGAAGAGGAAATTCTGTAAACTCTTCAAGATTGAAAAAGGTTAAAGTTTTGCTTGATTACCATTTCCAATTACATGAAATATTTTTATGAGAAGATTCTGTGAAAAACTAACAAGGAAAATGTATTTAAGTTAGGATATAGTCCACTTGTGCAAATGGAAGAATCTCTTGACTTTAAGGTTGATTAAACCCTGGAATAATTATCAAGAGACTCTATGGAATCTATATCTTTGGAGAATTGCATAAATGAAATATAAATTCTGAGTGGTTCTACATTCACCTGCTAGAGGCTGAGAGGTGAGCTCAGATGATCCCTGAAAGCACCTTCCTGGGTCTGCATTTTAATAATAATGTTTTACTGCACAGTAATAATTTTGAAATACAGCTTGGTACTCATGTACGCTTCTCTGGGCTTTCTATAAGGAATGGCAACTTTAGGTTTATTCCACTTAAGTCACTGTATTAAACAATACTTGTCATAGCTTGGTGACTGTGATACTCTTTTGTTTTGTTTTTTGTTTATTTGGTTTTTTTAGGAACAGGGTCTCACCCTGTCACCCAGGCTGGAGTACAGTGGTACAACTTGAACTCACTGGGCTCAAGCAGTCCTCCCACCTCAGTTCCTGAGTAGCTGGGGCAACAGGCATGTGACACTATGCCTAACTAATTTTTAAATTTTTTGTAGAGACAGGGTCTATATTTCCTAAGCTGGTCTCAAACTCCTGAGCTCAAACAGTTCTCCTGCCTTGGCCTCGCAAAGTGCTGGGATTACAGGCATGAACCACCACACCCATCCATGTGACACTGTTCTTAACTTAGTTTCTATATTTTGTAATTATTATAAAATACCTATGATATATGAGTATTCTCACATTTTTCTTTAATGTTATAACAGTATCATTAGAAGGAAGTTTTTATTTTATTTTATTTTGTTTCTGAGAAAGCAGGATTTATTAAGAGGACAGAAAAGCTCCCATAGTGGAGGGGGAGAACCAAGGAGGTTGCCTAGTTTTTATACTTAAAACTACGATTTTTATGAGTATTTTCTACTGATGTGGTGATCTCTACCTGAGTATAATACATTTACCAGCTTTGCCATTTTACCTTGACAAGTCATCATCTTACCATCCAGGGCTAGTTAGAATTGAGTGAGATAAAATGTCATCTTTGTGAATAATTTATCGACCTTTTGAAAGTTAATATGGCAAAATCCTCTTTTGCATTGTCCATTGTAGTTGCTATTTTTGGTTTCTTAATCCTATACCTTGGTTTCTTTTTATTCTTACCCTTGCAGAGCAAAACTTGCTTCCTGTTGTGATGCCATTCAAAACTTTGTTGTTTCTCAAAATAATACTCCAGTTGGGACTAACATGAGTTATGAGGTGGAAAGTAAAAAAGAAATCCCAATTCGAAAGAATATTTTTCATATGTTCCCGGTGGTAAGTAAAGATTTGTTGTGGGCTATTTGTGCCACCATTCCGGGTGAATTTTCTCTTACTTTAAGCTATAACTTATGATCATGAAGTCATCAATTAAAACACTATACTGTTATGTTGTATAAAATATGTGTAGTGGGCCATTTTTAAAGGGCCATTGTGAGCACACCATGACTTTACAGAGAAAGGTGTTTATATCTTAAATGATAAGCTCTTCCAGCTCTGAGTCTTCCATACTCTCCTCTGAATGTGATGAGGCACTTGGGATTTCTGCATAGTAATTACTGGAGCTTGCGAAGACGGCCATTTTTCACTTGGAATGAGATTCTTCCGGTTGTCAGTTTTGGTAACTACATCAATCCCTTCACAAGGAACTGTGTTGTCTTTGGGAAATAAATATGTAAGAATTCCTGACCATTAAACACAGCCACAATAAGACAAGGATTGTTCTCTGTGTGTTCACTGATATATGCCAAGCTCCTAGAACATTTCCCGGTACATAAATGCATTCACTACCTATTTGTTAATTGAAAATATGTGAATCATGATATGGCCATAATACCACGTGATACAGTGAGGAGAAACCTGGCCCTTAATACAAACCCATACTTGAAGGAATTTTTGTTATAAAGACCATCCCATTGCATAAAAACATACACTTCACTCTCAAGCTACATTTCATGAGTTTATTAAAAGCAGTTAAGCCAGTCAATATGGCTAAAATGAGATTACTTTATACATGCAGTTTATCAACTGTGGGAAATTTGATCCCTATAATTCTTTTTTGTTGGACCTTTGACTTCTTTCAACTAATTTATTGTTGCTCATGTAAGTTGTTCCAAATTTTTTTTTCTATATTACAATTCAGAGGAAGAATAATTTGCTGGAAATGAGTGAGAAATAAACAGAAAATGACAGAGAAAAACACTGTGAATTTTCTGGAAGAAAAGGGGGACAAAAAAACAACCCATAAGGCATTGTCATGATGCAGTGACATTACCAATAATTGAAAAAAGACAAAAAGGAAAAAAGTATTTCTCTTCCCTATCAGGGAAGACTTTGGAGAGTTCGACAACGAATAACAGCTCTTTCAACCATGCACCCACGCAGTTTTTGCAAGTGTGTGCCTTGTTTTTGGCTGACCAGAATGGAGGAGCAGCCACAATTTTGTCTCTCATTTGGCACCTTGAAAAGAATAACTTCACACAGGTTTGATCATCATATATGTGATTAATAACTGCATCTGCTTTTCAAATTTATACTGATTTTTTTTAAATTGGGGAAAGGAAATTCTGTAGCCTGTACAGTCACAGTTGCAGAGCTAGATCACTCTTATGTGTGTTGCTCTACCCTTCACCTTCCACGAGTGGAGCTCGCAGTAAACTTGCCCTCCCTGGTTTATTCTGCCCTTCCACAAGCAGCTCTCTGGAACTGTGTGTCCAGTAGATTGCAAGAAATGCTTTTGAGGAAACACTGTGAAGTCACTTCCTCCACAAACTTCCCTGAGTTAACTTGAAGACAAAAACCACAAACTTGATTTTCAACCAGAGTGAGCCATGAGCAGGCAGTCGTGCACATTTGCATTTTCTTGGGAGATTTATTTAAGGGAATGTCGAGGTTTGTAATTTCTTTAAATTCTTACTGAACATGAGATAGCAAAGCATATGGATGTTTTCCTCCAGTTGACCAAGAAACCAGAGAAAAACACTCATTATTGTGAGCGCATAATTTGAGATATGTTTCCCTCAGCAATCTTTCCTATTTCATACCATAAGAGCATATTTGCGTTTTTGAGTTCTTCTCTATCTATACAATTCGGAATTTATTGTGGCACGATTTAGTAGACGCTGTTTGAAAACATCTCAAGCTAGAAGTTCAGTGACATGAAATGGCCTGAGGTATTTGAGAACCATTCATTTAAGAGCCAGGAACTGTGCTAGGCGTTATGGGTATAATGAGAAGCGAGGCACATAATTCGGTTACCATTTTAATCCACAGAAAAGTGAGAAACTATGTAATGTGTAGTGGTTAAAAGCCTGTACTCTGGAGCAGACTGCCTGGGTTCATATCTCAGCTCTGCCACTTTCTAGCTGTCACTTGTACTCGCGCCTCCATTTCCGGGTCTTTAAAATGTTCATTAAGTTGTTATGTGTGTTAAATGTGCTAATAAGATAAGCACTTGGAGCAGTGACTCTCATATAATAAGCACAATATGACTTTTAAGCTTTAATAACTTATTTTTATTTTAATAGAGACAGGGTCTCAATCTTGTCCAGATTGGTCTCAAATTCCTGGGCTCAAGTGATCTTCCCACCTCAGCCTCCAAAAGTGCTGAGATCACAGGCGTGAGCCTGGCCAACTTTTAAGTTTTAATGACAAACTTACAGAGAGAAAAGTACTGAAACCGAGTTATCTTTGCTAGTTAGACAGCTCCCAGATCCAGCATCAGAAGCAGATGGTGGTCATAGTGGTTCAGAGGTATCCTCTGTCCCTCTGGGCTGCTCAGAACCACATCGATCCTGGACTGTTGCCAGTGGTGCTGGTAAACTGGCTTTAGGGAGAAATGTGCATTGATTTTGTAGGCTTTGCCAATTTCAGTGGTGTAAATATCCCCTCTTCCCCTGCCCCGCCATGGACAATTTCAAGTTACCAATAGTTTCACTACCACCTGACAAAATTTCTGAATATTTTCCAGTTGGCTCTTGCAATATTTACTGGCCAGATCCAGGCTTGTTCTCCCCGCATTCAGTAAATCAGTCACCATGATGTGGACTTTGCAAAAGAGAAAAGATTTATTCTCAAGGCCGCCAAGGGAGGAGGTGAGGGAACAGCTCTCAAGTATGCCTTCCCAAAGTTACTGCGTAGGAATATTTATGGGTTTAGGGAAGTGACTAAGACATGGGGATTAAGACATGGGTTTAGGGAAGTGACTAAGACATGGGGACTAAGACATGGGGGAAAAAAGAGGTGACAGGTTCATTCTGAGAGGTTTGTGGTATTTCATAGCACATATGTACAGAAAACAGTGGTGTTAGCATGATCCGAGGGTGGAATTGTCCCTCCATCGTCAAAAGGCCACCTCTCTCAGACACTTACACAGGCCCAGTTGAAGGGTGGGTTGTCTCAACTGGTTTAAGCTGGACAGAACTGACCCTAGTTCCTGAGAATCAACTGGAGCAACCATTACTGTGGTGACTTTCGAATATCATCTATGAAGTAGTCGGGAGAAGTTGTAAGTTTCAGCCATACAGTCTTCTGCTATTGCAGCCTTCAGCTTCATGAAAAGTCACAAAAAGCAAGAGACGAAAAAGCAAGCATGGCAGGCAGACCTGATCAACTTAGCCTCTTGGTTTCACAATCTCATAAAAGCCAGCTCCAGCACACTGCTGGGGGCACCCCAGGGTGGGTATTGGATCAGCAAGTGCTTATTGAAAGTTCACAAGTTGTTGAAAGCTGTATCCACTGCACTAGCTACGTCTGGAGGGAAAGGTGAGCAGAAATGAAAACTAATAAAAAGCCTGTCTGCCCTTGAGGACTTAGACTTTGATTCTCAAGACGGGATAGGCCAATCAGGACCTCTTTGCTGCGGAGTATGAGTGGCAACCTTGCCGTGGACTCAAGGTCACATTATTACTTCAAGAAAAGTGACCAGAAAAGGACAAGTGAATTGTTGAATTGGAAAATTATGTTGCAGATTGTGGGGGACTTGGAGAAAGTGGGAAACTTTTCGGGGTAAGTAAGCAAGTTGGGTCCCAGGAGGAGATAAAAAAGATTCAGACCTTGGAAATTAATTTGAAATATGTCAGCACAGAGTGGGCAGGCCTCCCTGGAGCACCATGGCTGACCGTTTACAGAGATGGCAGACATAAATCTAACACCATGACTGAGTCTGAAGGTCTAACTATTTAGGAAGCATAGGAAATTTTTGCTAAATTACCTATTAATTTTATGCCTTTGAATAGAAGATTTAATGCCACTTTCTAATTTCTTTATTTTCTCTTTCTTGCTGAAAAACATCTGTTTATCAGAAGGGCAGAATGTGGGATTTTTGTCATTCTCATTTTATTTACTTAATTGTGTGATGTAACCTACATGATGTCATATTTTGTATACAAAAGTATATTTTGTATTATTATATTATATTGCATATTAGATCATGTCTATTCCTCTCAATATAATGAGTTTTTATTATGTCATGATAAGTTGATCAGGATCTGTGCCAATACCTTTTCTTCTCTTGTCTTGTTCTTCTCCTTAGCATGTATATTTAGTTACTAGAATTAAGCTGATGCTTGTGTTTCTAAAATAAATGATATTTCACTGTAGTTTTTCACTTTTCTCCTGCTAGTCCCAGCCTTTTGTGGAGTACCCTTATAATCAATGTGCAGTGGTTGGAAATGGGGGAATTCTGAATAAGTCTCTCTGTGGAGCTGAAATAGATAAATCTGACTTCGTTTTTAGGTAAGACCTTTCAAATTGGTTTCTTTGAAACAAAAGGTCAAGTGAATATTTTAGAGGCATAGTGTAAAAATATCTCATGTATATGTTCACCTTTGAGCTCTGTTGTCAAAGTCTACAAATTATCCAGGTATGCTTTCCTGAAGAGTTACACGGCTCATGAGTTCCTCAAATGTTAATACTAGAAGGATAAAAATGTGCTACGGTCATATACATTTAGGAAACTCTATGTGAAAGAAGGTTTTATACTGCAGGACTTGTCAGAGCCTTCAGTATGTTAATAGGTAACACGGTTCCCTTCAAAGGACTCTCTCAGGAGGGACACTTCCCAGACTCAGCTGACCTTGGGGACCCTTTTTCTTACAGAGTATCTCAAGGATGTTTTGTTCTTAGGTGATATTCGGGAAACTACTGATCAAGGCATTATTTTTCAGCCATGCAAACAACATCATTATTTAGCTTTCTGGCTTGCAATTAAAAGAGAAATTTGGGTAGCTTCTGCATTCTAGTCTTTTAAAAATATTTTCTATCTCAGTACCAGCTAGCTTGCAAAAATAGAAACAAAATGGTTTCTGTGTGCTTTGTACTAATAAGTCACACTACAAAGAATCTCTACTTTGGGAATATGATGGGAAGATGATTCATCCATGTAAGGATGGATTCCAACTGAAATGCACCTTTTTAAGGACTAAGTAGAAATCTGTTTCTTCCTGTTTTAGGAGCACTGATTTCAAACATCAGAGGAGGTGCTTTGATCCCTGTTGATGTAATCCTGCCCATTTTAGCAAATAAAAAAGAAAGTGTCTTTAATAAATAGCTCCCCCTCATTCCTCATTTTAATCTCATTTTAAAATTTTGTGCTGCAGGTAATGATGAAACAACAATAGACTTGACAGCCCAACAATTATTGAATGTGTTCTCCATGACTCGTGTTAAAATGGCCAATATCCGAATGGTGTAGCCAGTTTTTGTTGTTGTTGTTGTTTGCATTGGAGTCTCACTCCATCCATGGCCCAGGCTGGAGTACAGTGGCACACTCCCAGCCACCCACAGCCTTGAATCGCTGAGCTCAGGTGATCTTCCACCTCAGCCTTCCAAGCAGCCGGAAATACAGGCACGTGCTACCACTTGACTAATTTTTTGATTTATTGTAGAGACAAGGTCTCACCATGTTGCCCAGGCTAGTCTCAAACCTGCAGGCTCAGGCAATCCTCTCACCTTGGCCTTTCAAAGTGCTGGGTTTATAGTCTTGAGCCACCATGCCCGGCCCGATGTAGCCATTTTGTTCAAGTGCTCAGTGGGACAAAAGCCATCATGAAGATAAATAATTCTTTTCATAATAGACTTTTTATAGACTTAAAATCCCTCAAACATCTGTGATGAATATTTTGTCTAGACAGTCATTTCACTTGATAATAGTTAAGTGTAGGAAATACAACAAGTTTAGTCTTCAAACCTAAAATTTTTTTAAAGTCATCAGATATTTAATTTATAACTCTAAAATAAATGCCTGTGTCTCTAGAGTCTGCATTTGCTGATGCCAGGTATTTTCCTGACTGTAGAGTTTCCTTTGAAGCCTACCATTCAAAACAAAGGGCAAAATGAGGGCTAGACGTGGTTGATGTCATTAACATTAATTTGTCCAGCCTATGCTTGTTTTGTATACATTTTAATTTATAAAACAACTTGGAAGCTGATTTTTTTTTTATTTCAAAAGATTCAGAGCTATGAATAAGTGTGTGAGGAATAAAAAATAAGTATATATAATACTATATATAGTAAAATGTAATACACTATCATATATAATATATAGTAATGTATAATACAATGTACTACTGTATGTATGTACATATATCTGGACATATAATATACTACTGTACTGTGACTATACTACTCTGTTGATGTGTATTTATGTATATATGAAAAAATTATATATGTATATAAAATACCCTTCCCCTAGAAGTCTCCTGTGATACTATACTAAAATTTATTCTCGATTCTTCAAAAGAATATGAGACTGTTTTGGAATGTAGATTTATTACAGGAGGCCCACTAATGAGGTCATTTCTTTGGCTTAGTACTGATACCTAATATTTATTTTTTCCCAAGGCATATATTTGTTTTCAGATGCATCTTTTATATCAATGAGGGAAGTGCATGTTTCAGTAACTTGTATGTTTCATGGAGCACGATATGGAACGTTTCATCCTCAGCCATATTACCACCACGTTAGCTTTAAACAGCCCTTCTCAGGAAGCACTCAAAGATGCTCCCATTTGATATATGGCATTACTACTTGAAATTCTGAAAACGATATTTAGGGAGTCATAACCAACTTTCTTTTTTGTGACAGGAATATAATTACTCAAAATTAGAAGCCTTAATTTGTTTTCCAATTTAAAAACAAATTAGTACTCAAAGGAAGATGAGAACATCAGTATGAAAACATCACTATTAAGAACATTAGGGTTTTATTTATTGACGCCATGATTTGGTGGCAAAACTATCCATATGGGAATCAGGAGACCTGGGGTTTTTTAATGTAGCCTTTGCTTCTGGCAGACTTAATAACTTTAGTCACAGTGCCACAATTTAAAAAAAATATGTAAATTAGTGATTGTACCCCTGTGGGAAGATAATCGATATAAATAATGATTTTAATAAAAGGATTGGGAACTCTTCAAGAGTTAGGCAAGGTGTAATTGTCATTTCTGATTTTGATACTTATAAAATTGTTATCAATATCAAAAGCATTTATTATGCACTTTTGAAACGTTTACCAAGAGCTCAGTAGTTATTAAACAGTTTTAAATAGTAATTAGATGAATTCTGAGGACCTCTTAACAACCATGATTTCTTCCAAAAATAAGGACAATTATCATATGTATATGTATGTGTGCATATTTTTTTTTTTTTGCAAGTTCTATTTTGAAAATAGTTTCCCTTTCAAATTTCAGGTGTAACCTGCCCCCAACCACAGGCGATGTTAGCAAAGATGTTGGCAGTAAAACAAATCTGGTGACTGTAAATCCCAGTATTATCACACTAAAGTAAGTATCTGCAAGTTACGTAACTGTTCAAGAACATTTTTTCATTGTTAAACATATTTCTCGGTCTGAGAGCTCATCTTGTTGCTAAGACTGATTTGTAATACAGCTGGAAGAACTTTTTTGGAAATATCTGAGAATACATTTGCAAATTCTGACATTCTGTCAAGGTTGTGGTTCATAAGAGGTATGACTCAGTTGTACTTCTAGTGCCATAAAGATAGATGTTTCTAATCATATGAGAACTTGTTTATCTATTCATCTTTTTAACAATAGTGAAGTTAGTTTTACATTTTCTTTCAGGGTTTTGGCATTTCTCTTTTATCTTGGTAGCACTTTCTTGCTAAAGCTTCATCTGTTTAGAAACTTCAGAGTTTAAGCTCGAGGACAACCTGGCAAAATACAGTTTTCATTGTTGATAGTTTATTACCAAAATATAATCATCATGTTTCATTTCTGAAATGTAACTATTATAAAATTGTTGGCTGGTTAATTTTAAAAATCCCATGCATAGTTTTACTCTATTATTTTCATCAGAAGTGACCGATAAATCTCATTAATAGATTATACCTCTCCAAATAGTTCCAGCATTTCTTGAGAGAAAGAATACATGTTTTCCAAAAGTTGATTTTCTAAACACTCACAATCATGCTCACAAGAATTCTTATTAAGTTATTATTTAAATCGTACATATAGAAATATCACAATACATGGGAGAAATTTTTTAAAATAGCATATGTATATCCATATTTGCATGTAGTTATTTTAGGTTTTTTAAAGGGAACCTATTTTATAATTAAATATGTGCAAAAGGTACACAAAACACAAGTGTACAACTCAGTGAATTTTAAAAATATCTTGCACAGAATATAACATACTATAGGTTATATATAATTATAAATTTAAAATATATATGCTATGCTTGAAAAAATATTTTATCATTATATATTTTGAAAGATATTTCAGTTATCAAAAAGAACCTTAGAAAAAATTGCTAAGTTGAAAGATAAAATAAAACAAAAAATGTCTGTCCAATAAGGATATAGCCCAGTAAGAAGGTAGACAATGAAAGCCTAGGTATTCCAAAGAAGAAAGATGAAGATGTAGCCCTTGATATTGACATGATATGCTTACTTGAAAGAGTTGTCCCTGTGTCCACAGTTTAGCTCTTTTCTATACAGAATATAAGTGGTTTAGTTTTTTGGCCAGTGGTAAATTCAGCCTCATGTTACCACAACTACTACTTTGATTATTATTATTGTGATTATTATATATATATTTTTTTTAATTTGGCAGATATGGGAACTTAAAGAAAAATAAAACAATATTTCTGGAGGACATTGCAACCTATGGGGACGCATTTCTTCTTCTGCCAGCCTTTTCCTTCAGAGCCAACACGGGTGCCTCTTTTAAAGTGTATTATACACTCAAAGAGTCTAAAGCAAGACAAAAGGTTCTGTTTTTCCATCCCAAGTACCTGAAACATCTGGCCCTTTTCTGGAGAACTAAAGGTGTGACTGCGTACCGCTTGTCCACTGGCTTGATGATCACAAGTGTTGCAGTGGAACTGTGCGAACATGTGAAACTGTATGGATTTTGGCCCTTCTCTAAAACTATAGAAGACACACCCATCAGCCATCATTACTATGACAACAGGTTACCTAAACGCGGTTTCCACCAGATGCCCAAAGAATATAGCCAGATCCTCCAACTTCACGTGAAAGGAATTCTCAAACTACAGTTTAGCAAATGTGAAGTAGCCTAAATAAAGTGTCTTAAAAAGGAAATAATTTTAAAGTAATGCAGTGAGTTACAATGTTTCCAAACGTTAAAGGAGGTGGTTATAACGTATTATAGGAAGATCCCCAAAATTTGGTTTGACCAAAACTCCCCCATTCATCTTGCAACCTTAGCAAGTCATTCAATTGTTCAAATCTTCGGTTTCCTTCCTTATAAAACTGGGACCATGAGTGAAGTAGCTGAAATGTGATAATTTATGAAAACTCTTAGCATAGTGTTTGCTGTGAGGTAGGAACTCAATGACTGTTTCATTGTTACTATTTAAAACAGCCTATCTCTGTCCTCACCAGACTGATAATCCAAGGAATGCTCTCTTGGAGACCCTTGCTGAAGAAAACAACTGAATTGCCAGTATTCATTGCGTTTCTTTCTCTGACAGGTTTTTCTTGAATAATATCCTTCCCTTTTTTTGTTCTGTATTTAAGAGTGCATACAAGAAAATTATGTGTTTAAACAAGAAATCTTTGCTCTTTCAAGAATGAAATTCTTCTCTGTATATGGCAGCCTGCCTGCTTCCAATTAAATTCACTTGTAATAATATTAGCTGTGATGATGTGTTAGTTGGATTTAGGCCATTCCTTTTCCTCCTTTACCTACATTTTTCATCATTCTTTATAATTTCATATTAACTTTCTGCCTTACTCTTAGACCTGTTCTTCTCCCACTGACAGGATGTACTTCAAGGATATAAAGAGTTTCAATACCCAATCTTTCTTACTTGTTGTCTTGTCTGTGGGATCACTCATTCCATTTTTATTTTACTTTTTTTTAGCACTCTGTTGCCCAGACTAGAGTGCAGCCTCAACCTGATGGGCTCAAGCAATCCTTCTGCTTCAGCCTTCCAGGTAGCTGGAACCACAGGCATGGGCCACCATGCCCAGCTAATTTTTTTGATCTATTATAGAAATGAGGTCTCACCAAGTTGCCCCAACTAGTCTCAAATCCCTGGGCTCAGACAGTTCTCTCATCTCCACCTCCCACATTGCTAGGATTACAGATGTGAGCCACTGCAATGGCCTTCAATTTTTTTTTTTTTAGGTTATAGATGAGCTACTTCACTCCAGGCCCTATGAGAGGTATATTAAGATGCCTTGCTCCAGCAGGAGGAAACAAATTTGTGTATCATTAGTTATGATAAGTTATAATAAGTGATATAATGATAAAAGTTATTAATATAGTGCTAGGAAGAACAGAGGAAGGGATAATTAAATCTATTTCAATGGAATATATTTCAAAATACAGTAGCGGGGGATAATTTCCAAGACCCCAGTGGATGCCTGAAACTACAAGTAGTGCTGAACCCTGTATAGTCTATGTTTTTTCCTGTACATACATACCTATAACAAAGTTTAATTTATGAATTAGACACAGTAAGAGATTAACAATAATAACTAATAATAAAATAGGACAGTTGCAATAATGTACTGTAATAAAAATTATGTGAATATGGTCTCACTCTTTCTCAAAAGATTGCAGTATTTTTGGACTATGACCTTAGGTAACTGAAATCACAGAAAGTTTAACCTCAGACAAGCAGGGACTATTCTGTTTTGGAGAAGTGATGATTTCCGAATTAAACCTAAAGTTTTTACCAAATGAAGAAGATTTTGGGTAGAGGGGATATGATAGGGGAAAAAGCTGTCCCTTTGATTTTGATTTATCAAAACAGGAGCACTGGAAGATAGATCTTAGTCTTTGCCCCAAGAACTGTCACATGAGAGGAGGGTACAGTGTGTGTGGAGGAGGTGGCTTGGACCCACATCTATGCAATGGGAATAAAATCAACCTGACCAATTTCATAGGAAGGCTGTAAGGATGAAGACACGTGGAAACTTAATTCTCACAAGGAAGATGTATGCTTTCATGAGAAATAAGACTCACAATTTGGACATCAGTATAAAATAAGCTTGGGTTAATATTAAATGTTAGCATTTTCACACCATCCTTTATGTTATGGTTTGAAACATTGTTTATGTTAATAAAGGTAACCCCTGCATCTACAAAATAAGTTCTTGAACTTAAGTAATATGTGCATAATTTCTTGCTCATCATTGTACCCTCACAAAAAGATGGAAATAAGAATGTAGCAGACCAGGCCAGTGTGCAAAAATAATTATATATATAATGTTTGAATTCCTTACTTGAACCAGATTGTTTTATTAAATGTTCACTTTTAAGGACACACTGGTGTAAATTGTTCATTTTGATACGTACATCTTTACTTTGTAGTTGACATTTGCGATGCTACTTTTGGTTTAGATTTTTCTTTGTTCTTTTCTAGTAAATAAAACTTGTCATCTCCATAAATTGCTTAAAAGTTCATATGTAAATATTTTCTAAAGAAAAATTCTTTTTGCTACATAAAGTCTCATTTATTTATTATCTTCCTTTTTGTGGTGATGAATACATGACTTTTTTTCTGTGCTCATAATGGATATAATTAGTTTTACATAATCTGTTAGCAAGATTGGTAATGTTTCAATCATGCTCCTAGGAATAAATTATTAAAAGCAGATCAGAATACTCTAGTATTTTATAGTCAGTAAAATGTTTCCCTCAAAATGTTTTATGGCAAGTAGAAACTTAAACCATTTATTTTTCATTACATTGGAAATGTGTGACTGATAAGTAAAAGAATATACTGAAATAAATAATTACACAATGTAGAGACTTTATATGTTATTTTAATAAAATTACATATGATTAGGACATCTATAGCTTGCTTAAGTTTTTTCGCCTCTAGCATCCTATTTTAACTTAGGAAATTTTCTCTAGAATATCAAAACAGAATCTCCAGTGTCAGTGATATGGCATTCAGAAATATTCAAAATGGAATGAGATCAAAGAACATACCCATATTCCAGTAAAAGTTCTATAGTAAAAAATGTTTGTGGAGTCTTCTGTAGAGAAAATTGTAGACTTTTCCACATTGTCACGTCCGAAGTTGATTTCTTGCTGAACATTTGTGTTGCCATCTAAAAGCCTGTTTGAAATTTTAGAACGACCCTGCCTAGATTCACATTAGCCAAAATCTTTTGATTAAAAAGATTCCCAGAGATTTCTTGAAAGCATCATAGTCAGAATTGGTGGTGATCCACAAATCTCTAAGATAGAGTTCATAGTTTTTCTTTCTTTCTGTTTTGATCTTGAAAATTTTGCAGGTCGGGCTCGGTGACCTGTAATCTCAGTACTTTGGGAGACCAAGGCGAGTGGAATGCGTGAGTCTGTGGGTTCGAGACCAGCCTGGGCAACTTGGCGAGACCTTGTTTCTACAATAAATCAAAAAATTAGCCAGGCGTGTTAACGTGTGCCTGTAGCTCCGGCTACTTGGAAGGCTGAGATGGAAGGATCGCTGGAGCCCAGCAGGTTGACTCTAGGGTGGCCGTGAGTGTGCCACTGCATTCCAGCCTGGGTGACAGAAGTGAGACTCCAACTCAAAAAAAACACAAAAAATGAAAGTTTTGCAGTAATTCACTATTATAGAGCAAAAAGAACTGTGACTTGTAATTTACATAACTGATATACTATAGCTATATTGTCAACATTCATGTTCTATCATATTTTGTATGTATCCCATACAACACGTACTCTTTGTATCTCTCAAGTGGGTCTGATTGCGATTTCACAACAAACAGGTTGTTGGCCATTATTTGAAGCCCTCCTACATTTCCTCTAGTGTAAACAGTGTGTTGTGGAAAATTAGCGGAAGGCATGTGTGCCTCATTCCATCATAACATTTTCTTCCTGGTAGATCTTGACCTTCCACGTATCCCACTGTGATGTGCTAATACTGTGATGTCCTTTTGTTCCAAAACAGAACATTAGTTAGAACTTTCTAAAATATGATAGAACGTGAATTTTGATAATATAGCTTATCAGCTATATAAATTGTAAAACATAAGCCACAGTTCTTTTTGCCCTGTAATGGTGAAGTATTACATATTTTTTATCAAGACCAAAACAACCCAAAAACCCTATTAACTCCATTGTGTAGATTGATAGATTAACCACCACCAAGTCTGACAGTGACACTCTCAAGAAAGTTCTGTGTATAATAAGCATTACTTAAATGTTTTCAGATGGATTGAATTTGTGCTTCTGCTATTAAAGCTCAAGTCCATACATGGGCATTGAAAACGGAAAGTCTGAGTACTGATACTAGACAAGAGTATCCTTTTACTTAGGATTATAGCTCATAATGCCACACACAACCTGTTTCTAAGAAAGAACACTAACTGGCTTGACTCTATTTTCTACTTATTGTTCAGCATCATTGGGCAATGTAACAAAAACAAGAGACCAAAATAATTTCAGTGAAATCCAATGGTAAGGCAGTTATAGTCATTTAAGTAAATAGTCCATAATGCTGTATGATCCCTTTGAAGGACTCCATGCACTATTTTGCACAGTATCAGTCTTTGAAGTTTCAGGTGTTTTTTTTCCTTTGAATAAAAGGCAGTGATAAATAGATCATGACTTTCACAAAAGGAAGATTTCCCTCTGCATGTAAATTTCAACCCAATAAATATGTGGACTCTCAGCTAGGTAATCAGTCACGGATTTTTTTTAGGACTTTCTGTGTATAGAATACTGAATAAACCATAAATTAGACTTGTTTTTGCCTAGATTTTTCCCTGCTTACAAAAAATTTACTAGTTAAATACTATATCATGTCAAATACCCTAAATCATTCAGTGATTATCAGGAAGCTTTTGGAAAATTGGAAATTTTATAGATAACAGGTCCACTAACATCCTAAATAGCTATTACAGAAGTATAGTTATGATGTGGTGAATAATGTAGTCATGACATTAAAAAATATTTTATTTATCTAACATGGAAACACATTGTTATGCCACTAAACATTGAAGTCGTTGCAGGAATTCACTTGATATGTCAGATACACTGGACTTAACGAAGATCTTTCTTTACACTTGATCAAAAAAATCCATTTGGAGTCACTAGGTATGTTTAAGTTTTCCTATTTGCATGTGGCTTCAGAAGGCTGGTCACATACTCAACAATGTCACCATTGCTCTCCTGAGAGTGGATCGGCAGGAATATTTCGCTTACCCTTTCTTATTCTGGGTCACCACTCTTCAGAAG